AAAAAAAAAAAAGAAAACAAAAAACGGAAAGTCATGATGCATTTTTGCAATGAAAAACAGAAAAAATACGTCATGACTTCCAACAACCCACAACTTTTTTTTTCTTCTGCTCACCTTAAAACAAATAACGATCTTTTGATCTTATATACTATTGCAGCTACTGCTCACTTCTTTCTTTTTCTGCTCAGGAAAACTCCCTGGAAGTGTTTATACTTTGCTCTTTCCGGTTTCTCTTTGCTATGGTCTGAATTGTGCTCCTCTTCCAAATTCATATGTTGAAGCCCTAACCCCAAATGAATGTAACTGTATTTGGAGATAGGATCTTTAGGAAGTAATTCAGGTTAAGTGAGGTCTTAGGAATGGGGGTCTTGATTGGTGTCCTTATGAGAAGATAAAGTAATCTCAATATTTCTCCCTCCCTCCTACCTTTTCTCCCTCTCTCCCTCAGTCCCTTCCTCTACATACACACACACACACACACACACACACACACACACACACACACACACACACACACACACACACACACACCACACTGAGAAAAGTATGAGGACACAGAAGACAATTGGCTGTAAGCCAGGAGGAGGGCTCTCACTAGAACCGAGTCTGTACACACCTTGATATTGGACTCCCCAGCCTCCAGAATTATGAGAAATAAATTTCTGCTGTTCAAGCAACACAGTCTATGGTATTTTGTTAGAGCAGCCTGAGCAGACTAAGACAGTCTTGAGTCACTAAAACCAATCTTTCTGTCCCTTACTTCTTCTTCTGCTCTTGTCAAGGTCCCTTTGACCTCTCTGTTGCTAAATCCAGTGGTCAGCTCTTAGTCCGCATCTTACCCCATCACCAGCGTTTGACAGAGCTGAGAGCTGTCTTCCACTTGAAACTTGTTCTTTAGTTGGCTCCTAGGGTAACACGTCTCCCGTGGCTCTGCTCTTCCTTTTCGGGGGTTTCTCATTCATCTCCCTGACCTCTGAGCAGGTGATCCATCATCTCAGTTTGCATGGAGCTCTCTCAAGTCTTATGTCCTGGGGACCCTCTGCCCTGGGCAAACCAGCATAGCTGGTCACTCCGCCTCTGAGTGTTGAAGCGTGCCAGTGCTGAGTTCCTGGACTTTTCTGTGATCACGACCTGATGATCTTATTTAATCTAATGGCTATAAGCTGATTATCCCTCAAACTCCCTTTCCACATACAGCCTTTCCCATCGCAGTAAATGACAACAGCCTTTTTCCTGTTGCTCAGGCCCAAAAACTTTTTTTACCTTTCTCTTGTTTTCACCCACCTGTTTCCCAAACCTTCAAAACGTATCCAGACCAGGTCACTTCCACCTTCTTTGCTGCCACACTAGGCCAAACTACCATGATTTCTCCCCTGGATTATTGTAATAGCTTTCTAAAACCAGTCTTTCTTCTATTAAATGTATCACCCCACCCCCCGCCCCCATCAATTATTCTCAACAAAATAGCCAGTGATATTGTCAAAGTTACAGTGACCATGCAACTCATTAGCTTAAAATCCTTCAATAGTTTCCAACTTGTAAAGGAAGAAAGTTTTCTAGAATCTACGAAAACTTTCGGAGGCCTATGTGATGCGGTCCACCCATAGCCATCTGACCTCATGTCCTGTCTCTTAACCTTGCTACGCTCCTGCAGCCACAAAGGCCACCTTGGGACTCCTTGAACCTGCCGGTAACCTTGGCCCTGGGCCTTTGACCTTGCTGTTGCCTCAGCTTTTGTGCACTTTTTCTGGATATTCCCTCTGCTCGCTCCCTTTCTTCCTCTGGCCTTTATTTAAAGTCAGAAAGGACTTCCCTGGCTATCTATTGTAAAACTCTAGTTTCCTCTTACAAACACACACTTCTTATTACTATTTCCTGCTGTACTTACTCCTTAGCATTTACTCTTGTGCTTTTCTTTTTCTTATGAAATATTTCCCCTGCTAGAATCTAAGCTCCAAAAGGCGCACATTTTTGTTTCTTTTGTTGACTCTTCTGCCCCAGTGCCTAGAACAATGTCTGACATGTGGCTTAATAAATATTTGTTAAATAAGTGAATAAACAAAGTCCATTAAGATGTGTAGACAAAATTCTACAGGGTATTCAGAAGTACAGGTGCCTTTCCTCTGGGGTTAGGTGGGTGAATGTGGCACAAATTGTGAAGGAGCCGGCATTTTACTTGAGCCTTGAAAAATGCACAGACGGGCCGTCCCTAAGGTCTGAGTGGCACTCATGGAAGTTTGACTATTTCCTTTCCCCTCATTATAGCCCCAAGGACATGTCCAGGGGCTCTTACTGCTTAGGACCTACTGACACTTGGAGAGAGGTAAGGCTCTCTCCACCACCAAGTATTCCTTGTCCTGTTCTTTTCCTGTATGACTTTTAGTCAGTTGTCTATAAGAAAGGATCTGATAAAGTCATTATGGGCTTTCCACCTTACAAAGGACAATCCTTAGTCCGGGCATCTCAAACATTAGTGTGTATAAAACTTGGAGAGTTTCTTAAACTGTAGATTCCTAGGCCCCACCCCCATGAGTTTCTAAATAAGCTCATTTTGATCCAGAGATCCAAAGACCACACACTGAACAACTCAAAGGAAAGAATTTCTAAAGGTGGCGTCCCTGAAGGCTTACAGAGAACATAATTCTGGTCAGGAGCCTCTTTGGTATTCCTAAAATTGATACTGTATTCCTATAAACAGTCATCTATCTGTCTACCCACCTGCCTGCCCATCCATCCATCCATCCATCCATCCATCCATCCATCCATCCATCCATCCATCCATCCATCCATCTGTCACTCAGTTCCTTAGATTCATGTCTATGTGAATTTTCCTACATTGTAACAGTGCTGGAGGCCCTTTCTCCTTTCAAAACAACTTCTCCAGGTTCTAATTACCACCTGCACCTCCCCCAAGGCCAAACCACATTCTACCAGGCAGTCTCCCCTCAGGTGCCAGCTAGCAGTTTGCTGTCGTTTCTACCTTGTGTTTATACCTGGCTACTCCTCCTCCTCCTGCCTGTCAGCAAGGCTCTTTGTTTCCATTTTCTGCTTCCCTGTTACCACTTCTTTCCCTCCCACCCCTGAACAAACAGCTTCTCCCCAGACACCTAATTGTAGCCAAGCTGCTGTGGTGAATTCCCACCTCCCTGAGGCGTGTTTCCTGCCTCCAGCGCCTACTGCCCTTTATCTGGCTTTGGTTCATGTCGGCTAAATACATTGACTAACCAAATTAAGAAGTCAGATACATTAAAATACAATAAGGTTGATAATTTACAACAAAATAAAATGCCAGAGGAAAAAATACACTCTGGGGAAGTGCATTCATCTTTGTATACAGTCTGTCATACATATTCACATGTGCAAACAGAGTCCAAAACAAACAAAATGTAACAACTGAAAAAACAGACAAAAACCCACATGGCTGATAACGCAATACACAGCTAGGTAAGCTAATATTTCAAAGACAAGGACAATTCGAGTGCTGATTTATTGGGTTGCCGCCAGATACGGGAGCCAGGAGTTTTTTTGGAGGCAATAAAAGCTTGTGCTCGCTGTTAAATTAGTTTACAGAACCTCTATGCTGCTGGCTCCGAGAATATTTATTCTAGGCGCTCTAGTCCCCTTGCTTGTTTCCCTTATCTCTCTGCAAAAATCTCTTTTGTTGTGGGGAAGTTTCTTACTCTTCCAGGGAGGCCCTGAGTGAACCTTGTGGATCCAGCAGTCTGCTCTAAAAAACCTCAATCCGGCATCCCTGACACAGCTCGCAGGCTCAGGCTGGGTGGGCAGCCACCACCCACTAGTTGTTCTCCAGGTCTGGAGAAGCCTATTTCTGTTGTGGAGTGAGGCCGTGTCCCCCCCTCATCCAGCCCAACACAAACACAAGACTTCAAGGTGAACAGGAATATCTGTTTGAAAGCACAGAAATAGATTCTAATCCCCAAATCAATGAATGTATTTTTGGCCCTAGACATCCACACGTTTAGCCAAATGGCTCTAGGACAGAACTTAATATTGTATGGGTTTGTCTCATCAATTGAGCGTGTACTGAAATCCATAAGGGAGAGGGTTTTCCTTGCTCGGGGGATACCGCTATGTCCCACCAATAAAATATATGAGATTCTGTTCTGTACAAAAGTTACCCCTAAATAACCTTGGGGGCCCATTACTTCAGTAGGTGCTACACCCCCTTAGGGTGTAATGA